TTCCGGGAATCCGAATGAGATCAATCATCAAGGGAATAGATTCTGTGATCAAACTTATCGACTATTGATCACTTGAAATATTTTTTGGCGTTGCACTTTCTTCAACTCCAACAATTTGTCACGCTGCATTCGCAAATATTCCGCTCTCGCACGAATATCCGCCGTTGGAACGCGGACTGGTTCGGTGAGCAATGCCTAAATGAATCATGTTTATTTATTGTGATATGATCAAGCAATTAATTACGAAGCAATTAGACACCAAATTGATGCAATTAATCAACAAAAAAAAAGATTTAATGAAGAATTTACGTGAATGTCCGCTGCAGTTCTGCCACTTTTGCCTTTCGGCACTGTTTCCGACGGAGGTGATGATAGGCCTTCCTGAAATCGGAATCGTAATCTATTTGTGAAGACAGTAGTTATCCATATGGACATAATTGGTTGTTCCAGGGGGTGCCCTTCAATATCCAGTCAAAACATTGTTTTTATGAAGTATTGCATGCATCTTAACATCTGCAACACCTCATCAAATACAGAATGCTGCTATACCATGTAACATATTGGTAGTTTGCATGATAAGCACAGAAAACTACGTAACTATCAGCAATCATCTGATTTTGTAAGCTCTTCTTGATTCTGAACGATAATATCAACAATTCAGAGAAACTGCATAAGAATTGTAAAACCACGTCAGCAGTTGCGAGCAATCATACGGACCTCTGCTGTTTTCGGGCATTCCTTTGAAGTCGGCAGTCGTTTTTTCGCGCTTACCGACTGTTCTCGCACTTTTTCGGGTGTTTGCGAATTTTTTCCCTCTTCCTCGGGCACTGAAGCTGGTGGAGCGCTTGGAATTAATGCTGGATACAGATTGGTGGATGGGGATGCCGTAGGTGGAGTGGTTCTCGGTAGTTCAGCTGCAGCTTTCGCTTTCGCCTGCTGCGGCTGAGGTGTGATGGCTTCTGATGGAGTTTGGTTATTGGTTGGGTCGGCGGCATGTTCAACATTCTGTTTTATTGCCTTAAAAAATGCCGGAATTAGTTGAAATTCGATCTCATATCAGATTTCGAGGGTTTGATCATAGGTGAAACCTCCGAAAATTGATCATATTTAATGGCATTTTTAGTGCTTTGAATGACGACATTTTTGA